AGGCAAGGTAAGGCAAGGCAAAAGGCAAGGCTGCGCTGGAAGATTTGTCTCACGGCTTGGCTCTCTAGGAGAAAAGCCTAAAGGTGTAATTATTGACAGCTCCCACTGGATGGCTCCCGAAGTCCAGCGGGGATGTAATGCTGAGCACAGCCAGCAGGTTCGATTCCGCTCCAGTCGCTCTCTCGCAGCACAGCCCAGTGTTACAAACCACAACGGAATGATAACCTAAGCCCAGAGCCAGGGAGGATGAACATTCCCGCAGGAACCCATAGACCAGGACGGGTTTGATCAAATGCACCTGTGCAGGAACTCTGAGAACAAACAAAACAGCATTGTGACCCACAACTATTAAACTAATACAGTAAAAGTTTACAACAACTTTGTTTTAACGCACTCTGCTCAGATCTCTTATATATCTCAACCTTCTTTCCCCTGCACTGGACACTAATAAGGACTGTTGTGGTTTAACCCCAGCCAGGAACTCAGTCCCACTGCTCCGRTGGGATGGGGAGGGATATCAGGAAAAGATAAAACCTATGAGTGAAGATAAGAATAATTCAGTAACTGAAACAAGACTAAATATATTGACATTAGTGCTGCTACCACTATTATGAATAGTAATGAAAAGGAGAGATAAAGGAATAAAATCCGAGAGAAACTAGCAATGCCCAATAGTTGCTCATCACCCACTGATCAATGCCCAGTCYGTCGYCCAGCTGTGATCGGTGGGTCCTGGCCAAACCTCTCCCAGTTTCTATACTGGTGAGGAGGTTCTGTGGTCCAGAATATCTCTCTGGCCGGTTGGGATCAGCTCTCCTGGCCATGCTCCCCCTTGCTGGCAGAGCATGGCACAGTGAAAAGTCCTTGACTTGGAGTGAGCTGGACTCCAACTCAGATATCAATGTGCTATCAACACTGTTCTCATGCTAAATCCCAAACCAGTAATGGACCAGCTTCGGGAGAGAAAATTCCCCCTCTCCCAGTCAAAATCTGGCAGCTCCTGAAACTCCCTCCCTCCGAGCCCTGGCCACCACGGTCCCACCTCCCTCAGTCACCCTTCAGCTCTCCTCATCACCCCTTGGACCCCCCTCATCACCCCTTGGACCCCCCACCCTACCACCCCCCACCTCTGTGACCCTCAGAACGCTCCAGCCATTCCCCGTGTGTCGTGTCCCC